GACCTGCAGATCGAGCATTGTTCAGATGGAATTTTGCTCCATCAATCAAATTATACCAAAAAGATCCTTAAGTGATTTTATATGGATAAATCTCACCCCTTGAGTACCCCAATGGTTGTTCGGTCTCTTGATTCTAAAAAGGATTCATTTCGTCCTAAAGAAGACGATGAAAAGATACTTGGTCCTAAAGTACCGTATTCAAATACAATATGTGCATTATTATATTTGGTACAATATACGAGACCAGACATAGCATTTGCAGTGAATCTGTTGGCAAGATTTAGCTCTGCACCAACTCGTCGACATTAGGATAGGATCAAACATGTCTTTCGTTACCTCGATGGAACAAAAGACTTGGGATTATTTTATCCAAGGAAATCTATTAATGATCCTAAATTAGTTGACTATACAGATGCTAGGTACCTTTTTGATCCTCACAAACCTCGCTAGTAGATGGGATATGTTTTCACTCATAATGGTACAGTAATATCATGGCGCTTTACAAAACAGACATCGGTTGCTACTTCCTAAAGCCACTCCGAGATTCTTGCGCTTCATGAAACCAGCTGAGAATGCGTATGGTTAAGATCTGTCATCCATCATATTGAAAGTTCATGCAAATTATCATGTACCTCAAATGCTCCCACAATTATAAATGAAGACAATGCGACATGTATTGCACAAGTCAAGGGAGGATATATCAAATGAGACAGAACCAAACATATTTCACCGAAATTCTTTTACGCTAACGAACTTCAGCAAAATTGAGAGATTGATGTCAAACAAATAAACTCCAGTGATAATCTTGCAGATTTATTCACTAAGGCCTTATCGACATTAACATTTGAAAAGTTAGTGTATGGCATTGGTATGTGGCGACTCAATAAGTTACTAAATTAATTCTACCATTATGAGGGAGAGCACTGATCAAGAGGACTAGAGGAGCATCAATTAGGGGGAGTTTTTTTTTTTTTTTAGAAAGGTTTATTATACTTGACATATGTGCACTGTACTCTTTTTTCCTTGATCAGGTTTGGCCCTACTAGGTTTTCCTGACAAGGTTTTTAACGAGGCAGTATTCGACACGTCCAACACCATTATACAGTTCATCATGTAATTTTGTTTCTTTGCTTAAGGTTTTTGTCCCACTAGGTTTTTCCTAAGTAAAGTGAACTATAATTGTCCGTAAGTGGTGGATTTTATTTGGTGGAGATCTAAAGGGGAGTACTGTAAAGAATTGTGGATCTCTCACCATTTGACACATTTGATCATACTATTGTCACCTCTTGACACATGGCAAAGGGTGGCACCTAGTGGCTAAATGGCAAGATTTGATTAGTTTGGGTGGTGGCATGAATTACTATATAAACTCTTCCTCTCCTTTGTAATTCTTGTGTACTAAAGTGAGAAGATAATAAATTTTGGCCCCTTTGTTGTTCTTCTATTTCAATAGTCCCTTATCTTTCATTAGTTATGTATTAGTCTTTATAATTGTCTTATATTTCGTAATTATTACAATACTGATGTATATTTTATTTTATTTTGGTTTTAAGTCAATCAAATATAAAATGGATAAAGGACTCTAAAGTTGAGTACCTGATCTCACTGAGAATGCAACATTTGGTAAATGGTACTATAGTTTGGTTTGTTCGGTGAGCAGGGCTCCAGGCTAGCATCCCAGGCCCATGACTATTCCCAAGTCCACCAAAAATTTTAAACAAACCAAAGTCCAAGTTGGATAATGGATATCTTGTTTTGTCTTTTAATTTCTAGTCGAGTACAAAACCCAGTTTAGAATTAACAAAACCCATCCATACTTAGTGTTTTGAAGGCCATTGGATTGATTTTGTTTGTTTCTCACTCACTGATATGTGTCTTCTCACTGTGATAGGTTTTTCCAAATCTTTAGAAAGGAGTTATTAATGGATGTGTTCTTGATACTATTAATTTGGTTATAAAAAATACGGAATATGTAATGATAGCGTAGTTTGTACTACATGTATGCATTTATTTATTACTGGTTTTAATGTCAAATCATAGTATTGGTTTCATGTCGTTTTTCCATTTCTAATTCAAGCACTGGAATCGCATTTTGACAAAAATGTCACACCACCGATATTTTCTCATCTCCCATCATCATCCTTCAAACTGATGTATTTTCTTTAATTTGTCCGCACATGGATGCACACCTGCAAAGAATGGCTTTCTAAAGGGTTAACGACTACCTTTTCAAAAAAAAAAAAAAAAAAAAAAAAAAAAAAAATTAATGCAAATTTCTACTCGCAAACTTTAAAACAATATTTTAATATTAAACACAAATTTTATTAGTATTTTCGTTGCGATAAAGGTAAGATGATCAAAATTTGTTATAGTGAGCAAAATGATCAATAAACATTTTAGCTATAAGGAAAGAAGAAAGAAAAAAAAGGAATCACAACCAATGGTTTTTGCCATTTTTGGTAAGTCCAATGTCCAAAATCACTTCTGAAACCACCACAAAATCCCCACATCTCTTCAACAAACCCAAGTCTCCATTTTCTGTTATCACTCACCATTTCCCACCCACACCTCCATTGCGCACCCAACTCTTCAAGCCAGATTTTCAGTTGATTTCTTTGCCATAAATTCCCCCATACCCACCATCACACTCCCACAACCCACTCTACAAAAACCTTACCTCCATCACTATCCCTTGCTTGCCGATCGCCAGCCATGCACCGCGCGACCTTTCAACTTCTAGGCCGATTTTTTATCGTTATGGTGTCGAAAATTCCTCCTGAAACCACCACCAGAATCCCCATCCTCTCTTCTCCAATACCCCTAACCCCATTTGCTCGCCGATCGTCGCCGTCTTCTTCCTAGGGTTTCAATCACATTATGAACTTGGGGTGTGCTTTTCTGGTCGATTCTGCAATCGGAAATCATCCCTCACCCTAGGGTTTTTTTAGTTTTGATTAGAGAAAGAGAGAAGGGTATTTTAAAAAAATCATTGTATTTCCCACCCAAACCAGAGGCGAACATAATAGTTGGATAGTAAAGAGATATTTTAAAAGTTTGAACGTGGGAAAGTGTCATTAAGCTTTTTTTCGGGTGGGAAAAAGTAGTTAACTCCTTTCTAAATTGTTCAAATTTCCTCATCTTTGAACCCTTCATTTAAAAAACCAGAGTGGAATTTCATAAAGACAGGATCAAAATTGTTGAAAAAAATTCCAAAAAAAATGAACTCTGTGACCAAACATAAAGTATTTATATGAAATTGGATATATATCATTCTTTTAAGAAATTGGAGATAAAGATTAGAGACTTTGATATCAATAGAAATGCATGTGTGATGTGTCAATTGATATCCAATCTAGGTTTCACCTAATTATAACCTTTAGATTTACAACTTTACAATTATAAAAAATGCGTGTTATGCAAATTGAATGTTGACGTGGATATGCAGAGTTATCAAACTAATTATAATTCATTAACACAAAATATGCAGAGCCTTATCAAATAGCACTAATAAACGACCCAATTTTAGGGGGGCGAATGGTTCACTTAAAGTGTAGCCAGAGCCGAGAGGTCAAGTGTCAAAATCAATTGAAATGGATCGCCGTGGCACGTGTTATGAACTTAGCTGTATAATGTTACAAGCAAACTATATAATATATGAAAATGAAATATTGAAAAGGTGAGTGCAGCCGCAGCCACAAATTCATCAATCATTGAATGTTCTAGTGTTAAATTGATAAGCATGAAGCAAATTGTTATTTTTTAGTTATTGGATCAATTTAATTACTGAAACGCTCTCTCATTCAATTGAAGGGGCACACTTCCATCACAATCTCCCACCTAAATTTTTTTTCTTGGGTCATTTTCTCTCCTCTACCTTTTCTTTTCCATTCCAGCTTCAACATATAAAGCGACGTTGTAGTATTTCATTTTGATTCTAAAATTACACCTTGAATTAAATTAGTCTGAAGATTTGAGCTACTACTGTTAATGATCTATGGGGAGCACAAAAATCAGCTATAAATTTAATTCACACATGTTGGATATTTCATATTTGGATTGATTGAATTTAATTAATTACGTCAGAATGAATTATCAGTAGTGGGTTCATTAAGTTTGCACATTAGTAGGGATTATTTGATATATTACTCAAAATGTTTTGAATACAAATCCTTCCTCGATTGCTAATAAGGGTAATTATTAAAACTCTTATACTGACAGATAGTTCCAAGGATCCGTTCAAGTCTTGATTAAGTTAGCTCAAACTTAAATGAATCAAACAACCAACTGTCGTTTTCAAAAATTGAAGACATTTCCAGGCTGCAACTGAGGGCAACTAAGAATGAATGCCTTACCAAAACAGGCTTCACCGCATAATAAGAAGTATGCAAGAATTATTTTATCTTTTTCCAACTGTTTTAATTCTTCTTCTTAATTATACGAACAAATTAAAAAAGTTATAAATAATTTCCTAGGTACAGCCATATTTAGGGGAAAAGCTTTTCATTTAATAACTCAACCGCCATTTTTGCGTAATTGCAATTAACTAAATTAAATGAGGATATACGTTGTCTCATCCAACAATAATTAATGAACCTTTACAACTTACAAGCAAGTGCTACGGACAGGGCCCCTGACAGCTAGTAGTACTTGCTCATGCTTTTTTTTTTTTTTTTTTTTATATGGTTAATTGGATTTTTATTTAATGTTAATAACGTAATCTAAGAGTAACAATTTTTGTAAACCTTAAAATCCAAAAATCAATTAATACCAATCTCAACACAAAGTGTTAGAGGTGTATATAGGCTGATGCCCTGATCACTACGTAAATATGTACCATTGAAAAGACAACAGCAACACAATACAAACGAAAAAAAACCCTAGGGACCTCAAAACCCAGTACATTAAAGTTGTGCACTACCACCACCCCAACAAATAACGCTCTCTTTACTATTTCGACTTTAGCGTGCAACAAAGGTAAAAGCTTTTATCAAAACGAAATAAATTCATATATATGTTTTTTTCATTTAATATGTTTTTATTATGAACAAGTACTGAAATTTTAATTACTCCAAAACAGCGGTAAATCAAAATGATAAACGGTACATGATCGATCTTCACACCTGTTCAATGAAAAATTTTATCACCTATGTCCCCTTCATTTGTAAGTAAATTTACATAAAGTTAAACATGGCTGCTTGCTAATCGTACGTTGTATGTGATAAATGATCAATCAAACAAAACTCCATTGCAGCAGGTGTCACTTCAATTCTTTCAAAGGATGCAGTGGTACTGTAGTGGTTATTCGTAACGATTAACTGAGTCTGACTCATCGACCCCATGAGTCATGGTACGGTGACTCCAGTGCAGACATTCTCTTCTGTGACTTAAGGTCCTTGTAGAACTTTTTAATGAACTCCTCTGCCGCTTTGTCCACCTGACTATCTCCCTCGTCTTTTAACGGAAACGGCGAGTCTGTTATTCTCAACTGTCTCACCATGGGACTCCGACCGAACCCCGGCAATGTGGTCAAGGGGGAGGCCTCCATCGCCGCCTCGTTATTTAACATCTCGAGAACCTTTTGCACGGCGTGAACCGTGGTGACGTCGTCATAACGGTAGGACTTGGCCAAATGGTGAAGGCTGTGGTGGTGGTGTTTGCGTTTGTGGGTGTAAAAAGGGTAAAAAGCGGGGCTGTTGCTGCAACTAAATTCATACTCTTTTGGAGAAACAAAAGAGAGGGCATCATTTGAGCGACAACTGAAGGAAGAAGTATGGTGGAATATGAGGTTCCCGAAGGCCTTTCCTGCAAGTTTATTTCCTCGCTTCAGCATCAAATGGAGATCGAGCATTATTTTGCTCTTTGATATGCCTGCCTTTATCATGAAAAAAACTATGCGCACTACCCTCCATAGCTTCTTTGCGACGACTGGTGGGCTTGGCTCCATTTCCATATCTATTTGCTTCTATTTTAGTTTTCTCTTTTGTCTTTGGAGAGCGAGAGAGAGAAAGAGTAAGTTAAAGAAGAAAATGGTTATTGGTTTGTTTGGAAGGGGAGCGAGGAAGAGAGGTATTTAAAGGGCCAGAAAAATTATAATTTATTAAACAAAAATGAAAACTATAATAAGCCAAATGCATTTTTATAACAAAAACATTAGACTAAAGTATAGAACATACATGATATCTTTTATTATGTTAGCGAGTGATTTCACGCGCTGCAAATAGCCAAGATTTAGTAATTCCATTCCATGTACAAGAAATAGTGGTTGAAATTTTTTTGTAATTGATATTTTGGTTGCTCTCTGCGTGGAAGTGATTGTAACGGTCACGGAGATCACTAGAAGGTGCCTTTGATAGAAGTAATTAAATTACTCCCCTTCAATAATTAAAGATATTTAGGTTGTTAAAATTAGCCCTAAACAAGGCACAGCCAAAGCTTAGCTATGTGAGCATAGAAGGTTTTGACTCAAACCGTGCTTCGGTTCAACTCTGTCATTAATTTTGTCGGGCCTAAGCTTGACGTGACCTGCTTTTTTTGAGGTTATGAACTGGTATTACGGTAGCTGGCATTGGTGTGCAACTTTAAAGAATTTCAAATTCATTCAATGTGGTTCCTCCAATTTGCACTTGACCTGGTTTTCTGTTGGTCCACTGCAATCAACCAATTGGTTTAATGCAATTATAAAGTAAAAATTAATTTTGAAATTAGATATTTTAAGATTTAAAATAAATCCATCGTTTACTGAGGGAGACTGAGAATTTGAATTCTTACTATGACAAATAATTGAGACTGGAATGATTAAATGATGATTATTATTGTTCAATGCAATAATGGAAAGGTCAATATCAATATTAATATCATTGTTTTATTAATTTAACTCATGTAATTAATTATTATAAGTAAAGTTAAATAGTTATTGATTTGGGATTTCATTTCAGCTATCCACGTGTCGGTCTCACGTCACCTTCCAAATCCAAACTTTTATCTTTTTTTATTTTTTTCTTTACTTAGATTGAAGGTAAGATTCACAGCGAAGGGGCGCGTGGGCTTTTTAAGTTACTTTATGGAGAGACTGAAATGAATGGAAGCAACTACCTTAACACGTGGCAAACTAATTGAGGTCAGAAGGAATCTATGGCCGTACACGGCTTCATCAATCTTTGTGTACCGAAATCGTGGCCGTTGAATTATAAAGTGTGATAACATAACATCCTTTTGATGTGCAAAGTAATACAAAAACTTTATTGGACGTTGATCAGTTTTTTTGGCAAGAATCTCAAAGGGTGACATCTGGTTAACGGATTTCGGAAGTATTAAGATTGGAGGACAGGTGTCATGTAATTAACGTTCATCTTTTACTAAAGGAAATTATTAAAATTCCAATCTGATTAATTTAGAGGGCGTGTGGCATGCTGAAAGCGATGGTAGAAAGAAAATTTGCAGCTCTCTTTTCCTTCTTCCCTTTCAAGTTTCAACTAATAATTCCTGAAAACGATGTGACAAGCCAATGGATTCATATTTCATAAAAATTCGTAAATAATAATAAATTAAACTGTTAAATTTAAAATGATAATCATTATTGGATGATGTAATGATAAAAGAGTAAAATGATTAAACATGGGTTTAAATTTCTCTAAACACTAATAAAAGTGATCATGAAAGAGATTTATTTGATGATTTAATTCAGGGTTTTAAATGATCCGAAAACTTTTATAAAAAAATAAATTAAAATGCTTCTAGAACTAATAATTGTGGATGAAGATGATCCTCCATTCATTCTCTCTCTTCTCTTCTCTTCTCCTCTGTTATTGCTTTTTTTGCTTTATTTTATTTTTCATTTGGGGAAAGTGAAAGCAGCTTTCAAGTTGCTGACCCACGACTACGAGCCTGAAAAGCTGCACAAGGGATCCAAGGCCACATATCGACTGACCAAATTACCGAAGTGGTAATATTTATTAATTAAATAATAATGGAGTAAAATGTTTGATATAATTTGAAAATTACTGGATGTATAACTTTGACAGGAAATTAAAATGTTTATTTCAAGGAAAGAATAAGAAAAACGTTTTGATAATTTAAAATGCAGTATCGGATTTACCTTTAATCAGTTGACGCACATGCAACCGGAGCAGAAACCATCATAAAAAACATGATATGATTATGAAAGATTTGATGGAGAACAGTCAATGGAAATAATAACCTGATAAAAATTTGAAGTGATGTGTCTTGTAAAATCTTAGGGAGGAATTAAAACAAGGAGTTGATTAAGGTAAACGTGTTACTACGTCTGAGACTGAGAGTAAACAGAAAACAAAAGTTGACGGAGTAGCAATAGGCAAAAGCAAATTAAAGTAAAGCAAATCCATCAACACCAACACCCCACTATAATGTTTTTGCTTCTTTTAATAAATACTTTCCGTTTTTACTTTAAACATAAAAAACTATATATTAAATTTTAGTGTATTTATAGATATTACATACAGATTATTTAAGCTTATCAAAAATGGTCAGCACTTCAACAACACAAACACATCAATAATAAGTAAAGAGCTAGAAATCTTTGGAACAAAGAAAAACAAGATAGGGGACCAAAGACGCTATGAAAATCAATTGAAAAGAAGAAGTTGATTTAATTAGAGGGGAGTAAACAACTTATTTTCACCCAAATAATGGTTTAATGATATTTTCCCATCTACAGACTCTTAAAATACTATTTTATTACTCAAATTTATATTTCGCTTTTGATTCCGGTATCTTTGCGACCTCACACCACTATCATTCTCTTCCAAATCTTCACTTATCAAAACCTTTCAAACTCTACTCCCACCGACCTGGCCAATCGCCAGCAATCGAGCGATTATGGTTTGCGTAGCCGCCCCTTTCAAGTCAAATTTCGATCAATCTCAACCACAAAAATCCAACTTTCTACCACCAAAAGACTCAATAGCCTTTCCTCTTCAAAAGCCTCAACAACTTAGAACAATTTTGCTCTCTATTCGCTGTTGGAATATAAATTTAGATAGTAAAATGATATTTTAAAAGTCCATGATGAGAAAATGTCATTAAATCATTATTTGGGATTCAAAAAAGTCGTTAATTTAATTAGAGCGTGACTATGAAAGCGAACAAAGTCCACAAGTTAAAAGAGTCCCCCACCTAGAAGCCACTAATTTCAACACTTCCACCCACCTTAATAACTTTGCATTGACGTAGCTAAAACGATTTTATATAACGAAATTAGAAGATATTTGGAGTCATAAATTATTGGTGGTCCGCCAAAACGACATGTAGTTAAAGGCCGTAATTTTCCAAGTCATTGTCTTTCTTTAATTATTGCCAAAGTCTTCTTCTATGCGGTAAACCCATTCACTCAAAAGCGTTTGCGTTATCACGATTGAAACAAAAACCAATTCTTTAAGCTTATTAATCATGGTGTGTATGGTTCTGCCTTGCTTTATTGGCTTTTGATGTTGCCCAAGTGTCGCAACCTTGCAATTATGGAGGGAGGCCAATTGCTAAATTCTTATCTATTTGGGAGAGTAACATTTTCCCACCCAAGGTTTGGCCAAACGACACTGTCTCACCCTTCGTTAGGTTCGGTTATGTTTTCTGTTAATATTTTACTGAAAAGACAAAAATACCCTTAAATATTTGATTTTATAAAATTTTTATTATTTTTTAATTAGCTAAATAGTGAAATATTAAAAAGTCAAAAAATAATAATAATAATTACCCTATCTAAAAAGTTAGGAGTAAAGTTAAATATTTATTTATTTATAACATCATCAATATCTTATCACTATTATTCAATAATGTACTATATTTATAATGTTTTTCATAATATAATGTTTTTCATTTTTACTAATTAACATAAAAAATCAACATTTCTAATTAATTAAATAAACAAGAGAAAAAAATTTTTTACACTTGAACTAATAAATAATCGAATAAAGACTTTGACTTAACTAAATTTTTATTTATAATAAACTAATAAGAAATAAACTATTTAATGGTATTTTCGTCTTTTTAGTCAAATATTAACAGAAAACATTAACAGAATCTAACGAAGGGTGAAAAAGTATTATTTTAAAACTTGATGGGTGGGAAAATATCGTTTCGCCAAATCTTGGGTGGAAAAATGTCGTTCTCCCTATCCATTTATATACGTATTGGTATAAAAATCAAGATTATTGATGAAAACAAAGTGCATTTATATATGTAGATATGTGCATTTATATATGTAGATATGTGAAGGGCGGTCCATCATGTATGGTGGCCTACATAAAGAGACAACGAGGAGAAGAAAATAAGGAAGTTTATTGGTGGAATTACTCATCAATTTGTGTCAGAATCAGGATTCACAGATTTTATTTTGACCCAACTGTTTTCAACCATTACGGAAGATTGATATTTTGACATCACTTATAAATATCAACGGCAACAAATAGGGGTGGGATAATCCGGTTAATCGAACAAGATTATCAAAACCAAACTGGTTTTTCGGTTTGGAGAAAATTGAAACCAAAAACCGGACCAATTTCTGTTAAAAACCGATTGTAAACTGAACCGAATATTCGGTTCGGTTACTGGTTAACCAGTTTTCAAATTAATCCTTAAAATTCTTCAATGTTTCATTTAAGTCCCTAAATTCAAATATTTATTATTTTATATATAATTTCATACTATGTTTCTCTTTTATTTTGGTATTATTGTTGTATTCTTTGTATGAAAAATAAATTAAATTATTTATTTGCAAATACTGAATCCAGAATATGAAATAAAAACATAAAGAATTCAATTACACATTACTCAATAGTCAATACTCATTAATAAACTCAAATACATAACATAAATTTAGTTTGGCAATGTTAAACTAAACATAACATAAAATTACAAAGTAAAAAAACTTAACATAACATAAATCATCTTCATCCCACAATGTTGGTGTTAGTAGAGTCTCTTGATTACGCACTCCCCGGATTAGTTAATGGTACACGAAGAAGATCATCATCTGCAATTAACAACTATGGTGCGTTTGGCTCTCTATTTTTATCCATATTCCCAATCCTATTCTCCAAATAA